ACTTTATTAGTAGTACCCGGGTTCAACCGTGTGTAATCGGGCCTAATGACGATAATTTAATTAGTGTCATCTTGAAACACCGAGCTCGTTGACTCAGTCATTTTTTACGAATACCCGGTGATCATACAACTCAGTTGCTTGAGGCGTTATCATATATAACATAAGATCGAAATCAAATGAAGTCCTTTTGTAGTTTTTTATTGCATTGTCAAAAATGTTTAGGTGATCTTCCTTAACTGAGAAATGTCTTTTTGTCTACATTTTTAACTGAACTGTATCTCTTATTAATTATTGCTTTCCATTTACTTCGTTTATTCCATTACCTTTCTCTACCTTCACAATGTTATCACTCCCTTTGTGCGGTGCTTTCCTTTTGGTGCCCTATTGTATTAGAACTCGTATACTGGAACTAAATAAATTGATTTCCAATGCATCAGTGTTATCCTACTGAGATGAGTATAAAGTTATATACTTTAGTTTTGGAAGTAGAATTTGGAATAGAGCAGTTAATTAAAAAAAAATTAGACGAATTAGTTGGGTCTACGTGATCTTAAAATATTAGAGATTAATTATTTCAGTTTTCCATTTTTATTATGTTGGTTTTGAAATCATAGTTTACTGATGTGTGAATTCGAACTTTCATTTGTTATTATTTTATCGACATCGATTGGTACTTATATTTTAAAAACGAAGAACCGTTACAGTTCCGAGGAAGCGAAGTAAAATACACCAAATCTGATACAAGTAGAAATTTATTCATCTCAAAACACAATGAAAAATCTAATTAAAAATGTATTCATCTATATATCGATTTGTACACATATTTAATCATTATTTAGTGAAAAGTTAGGTATATGAATTGATAACAAAATCGCACATACTTCATGTCATGTTAAACATAGTTTATACAAGAATATTGTGTCTTGAATATAAACATCAAACTGAAGTAAATCATTGTTATATTGAATAATCATCAAATAGAATTAAAAGTGTAAGTAATGTAAAATAAGAATCACAATGAATTAGGAATGTAATTTTGCATTTTTATCCTGTCATATCAATTATTATGATTAGTTTATGAATAAAAAATGTTTCATATTTTTCTGTCTTTTTCAGAAGTATGCGCTGTGTCACGAGTTTCAAAGAAAGAAATAGGAAAAGTTTTTAAAAAGATTCTAAAAATACTTGAGACAAATGTACAATCGGTTACAGTTGAAGACTTCATGTCTAGATTCTGTGGTAATCTCAATTTGAACATTACTGTTCAAAGAGTTGCAAATGTGGTTGCTAGAAGAGCTCTTAACTTAAATTTAGTTGCTGGTCGTAGCCCAGTTTCGGTGGCAGCCGCAGCCATTTACATGGCAGCTTATGCATTAGGTTGTCGTAAAGAAAAACGAGGTAACTATCATTGTTTTCTTCATTTACTGATAGTAAAGTTTTTCAGAATTGTCAGATTTTGTGTAAATTATATTTGAAATAATTTCACCGATTGAAATTTAAATAATTTCAACGTTTCGTTTATCAAACTTGTCTGAACTTCTTTAAGGTAATAATCAAGAGGTATTCAACCATTAGTAACAAGTATTTGGACCATATCTCTATCCAATCTGTTTGTTTCATATGCACAGTTATGCTGATAGAAATTAATTTAAATATTTCATCATTACAATTATGTATTTGATGATTCTCATTTTACATATACATCGACGTTTTGAAAACATTTTCAATTTGCACATTTATTCTTCTAATAAACAAAAAAGCAAATTAAAATCTATCAACTATTAATAACATGAAATTACATATATACAGCCATACATAAAATCACTCATTCATTTAATTTCAAATTATGAATTTTTCACATGATTCACATGTTATTGACTCATATTTATTATCCTAGTTACTAAAGTCAACATCTGAATATGATTGTATAAGTATTTAGTGTAGATTTAATTGTTGAACATTAAATATTCTTTGATAATTTTGATCTTGACTATTACACTGAAGAAGTTCAGATAATTTTGTTGGACGAAACTTTGGAATTATTTAAATTTCAATCACTAAGATTATTTCAAACATAATTTTCATAAATAACATCTGTATAATTGGTGACCGATTCCTGTCAAACTATTGGCTCAAATATTGACGAATATTCGTTTATTAAGTTAGTGTTTTTAGATTTTAAAAAGAATTTAGAATTCTGTGTATCTATATAGAGTTGAATTAACAGTTTCTTTTCACAGACAAACCATAGCATATGTTATTTTGAAAAGAGCAAGAACAAACATTCTAGCAGAATAGCATGAATTCATTTTTATTTCGTTGGTTCTCGTCAGCTGCTTACAACCTGTGGTATTTAAAATCATAATTAATGGGTTTAAATTACTTACATAAAAGAGTTTGATTGGAAGTCATATTAAAGACATATTCATATAGTATAGCAAGGGTGTAAATAAATTTAATAGACTGAATATTGTAAATATATACCTTATGTGATGAAAGAACATTGTGACAACAGTTCAAACGGTTAGAAACAAACAAACCTTGATAGGAATAAAATGAGTAGAGTTCAGTTGATAAAATAAGATAGTTGAAATAAAACTCAATGGTGTAATAAATGCAAGAAAGAGTTTAAAGAAAAAGAAAAAAAATTATTAAGATATAACGTAGGAATATTAATCACCAAGGCAAGGAAAGATTAATAACCATCTCCTTTTGAACACATAAATCAGGCTTTTGGCGCCTGATAGCAACTGCTTCAGCAAACTTCAGAAGACTGGAGTTTGGCTGCTTACTAATCACCTTGAATGATTGTAGGGTATCGACCTGATGTCCTGTATCAAGAAGATGTTTGGTGATTGCACTATTTAGAGTCTTTCTTTCTCTTGTTCTGAGGCTTTTTGGAACATGTTCAAAAAATCTGAGATATGCCCTCCTTTCTGTTCGGCCAATGTAGCTGCTTTGGCAGGTACACGTAAATTTATAAATATAATTGGCGGTAACATGAAAAGGATGCTTATCGACTTTTGATTGAGTTATTGAGCATGTTGTTTTATACAGAATTTGAAGTTTGGTCGCCGGATAAGTTCTGGCTAGCGCAGTACTCAGTCTCCTGTTGATTGTGTTTGCAACCTCGTCACCTTTGAAGTTAAGACTTATGGTTATTGGTTTTTTATTGACAGTAATTACTTCAGTATTGTTTTCTTTACGCTTCTTATACTTGTCAATAAACTTTTGTAACGAATAATCGTTCAGTACATTAAAAAAAGCAATTACCAGTTAAGATAGCTTAGGCTTGGAAAAAGGCGACAAAATGACACAAATATTGACCACTTTATGCTATCGAAGATACTTTCAGGTTGCAGCGTAGATAAAAATCCTCAAAACATGTACCTAAACGTTATATTACATCCAATTATTATCTGTTAAACAATGTGATAATTTCCTTTGTAGAAATTGGTGATGTGGCGGGATGCGCTGAGGCTACTATCACATGTACTTATCGTGCAATGCACTCAAGAGCCAGTGAACTATTTCCTGAAGATGTTAGACTTGCCATAAGACCAGATGAATTACCACTGTGATTTCATTTATTTTTCTTGTATACAAAAAGTTCATTTTCTTCCAAAGTTGATCAGTTTCTGTACAAAGTTATGATACCGTAAATGCAAAATACCAAAGTCAGTCATTGATTATTTGAGAGTTGGAATATTGTGTGTAACAGATGGTATATTTATCATAAGTACTGTTTTGATTGAGAAGGGTTCCTATATCAGTTTCGGAAGTTGCGGTTTAGAGTAAAATGTTACTAGGGATTGTGTCAACCATTGTGATCTGTATCTTCGCGAGAGAGATGTTAGCTTTTACAATAAGGATGCATGCTAGTTGGGTGATCATACTTAACAGTTTAACAGAGATTGTACCGAATTGATTAGTTTGTTACCTCATTAACTCCAGCATTAGAACAATATGATCCAATTCTGATTGTTGTTTTATATATCTTCCGTAAAATACAACTTGTCTTTACTGATAACTACCGAGTAAAGGTAAACCGTAGTATATAAGTCCAAATGTGAATTTTTTCAAAGGAAGTCCTAGCGGGATTTTTAGTGACTTAGCTTGATTGTCACACAACAAACTTGAGATAGAATCCGGTAGGTAACACGCAATAAAACGTTACCCATACTGTTAAGTCCGAGTGAAATTAAATTCACTACATAGGATACCTTTTGGTTTACTGGTGATGGCCAAATTGACATAAATCTTATTAGGGAAGTGCAATATACTGAAGTTGTTCACAGGCTTGAAGGCAAACAAAATATAACCTAACAAGTAAGATATTTCGAAGATTTAACATGGGGATTAGGGAATTCCTAGATCTAACCAGTACGTACTCCAATAATCACGACTGGGTCATAACAGTGTGCGCACTTGAATGTATTGCATTAGATTTTGAATAACGCGACAGGATGTTTACGAAACAAATGTCTTATAAATAAGCTTAACTGGAAATATATTAACTCGACTGAATCAACAAGTCAGTGATTGTATGGCCTACCGAAAATTCGCGAAGAATGATGTTAGTCTAGCGATTAAAATGAATTATCGTTTACGAACAATTTTATCTAAAACCTGTAACAATCAAATCACTACTTAGCCAAACGGACAGTATGCTTATGAAATGGTCTTTACTAATGTAAGTCATCATCGACAACATAATCTGCGTTACATAAAACCTATTCCTAACCAATAAGAGTTGACAAACTGATATATCCTACTGTCCAGAACCATATACTTTAACACAACCCGGTGAATGAGACTCAACGATCTCGAACATGTCCGTGATGGTCCGTAAATTTAGTAAGCCGATATTTTTGTACAAACCGAGTGTGAACAAGTTTCGCCCCTCATAGTTTATTATAGTGACATGAACAAAGAATAATATTTATTTCAACACCAGGACATGCCTAAGCTCTTTTTCGAAAATTACTAAGATAATTGTTCGTAACGAACCTTTATAAATTTGAAAAGAACACAGCTTATACGAGAAATAAAACAACTGTATTTTGAATGACCAAAAACTGCGAGACGGACAAAGAATGAGAATACAGCAGTCCCTGTTGAATGTGAAGATCGCAGCATAATAGTTAAAGATAAACGATCTCATAGCAATCGCTTAAACTTTTCAAAGGATAATAATATAGTTATTTCTTACATAGGAGGACAATAAACAACAGAATGAATAAAACAGCACAATAATGAACTTGGAAACATGAGTACATACACTAAACAATTAGAAATCCAAAATAAAATAAGTTCATACAACCAAAACCCAGTCTTATTTTACTATGTGACTTGTATCTTCATTAATGAGAAGTATTTTTTTAAAAACTTTCTTTTTATAAAACAATTGAAAAGTAAGGAAGAAAGTGAAGAAAGGGAAAAAATACTTAAATACATATTTCTTTTATTGATTACACTTTAAAACATCTTGTCTGTTCAACTCATCAAAACTGCATCTCAACATACTTGCACACATGCTATGCCCATAGAATGCTGTGCAACACACAAGGATTCGTTGAATATCGAACAATCCATAACTTCTCCCATTTCAAATTGTCTCATTTTTTGAAACAGATGACCATGATTAACGAATCTTTCTAACAGGATACGCTTATTAATTGGCACATCGTTTTTGACTGTCAAGAAAACAAAGAGTGAATGAAGACAAATATTTAACATCAATGAAATAAACTTTAAGCGGCATGGGAACTAATTGGTATATATGACCGTTGATTTTTACGTGGATTACTGAGCTAATTTATACTACCAGTCTTATACAAGAGATTGAGTTAATTTTGAGCAAAATAAAATGAGCTCATATTATTCTGGTCATAAAATGTTGTCCTTGATCTTTTTAATTTAAAATATTGCTACAGTAAACTGAAAGTTTTCTTATTTAATCGTTTTAGAGACACATCTCTGCATCTGGAGTCACATTCACAACCGCGTTTGATTAACAAACAAACATCAATAGATGATAATATCCTAAAAGCAAAAAACCTTTTTTTTAAAGTTAGCTATAAAACAGAGTTTTCAAAATACCTTAATTTTCAGAAACTTAAAACACTGACATACTTGTATGCTAAGGATGCCTCAAATTATCTGTCTATTACTCTTACTAATACATAGTAATTTTCATGAACAAGTACTTCTCGTTAACATTTCGAAATCATATTTCACCAAATTTGCTAATACCTGATTGGCTAGTTTTCCTCTTAATTTGCTGTATTCTTCAAATCAGTCAGTCGTAACATACAGTCCAACATAAACGTGTGATGGCACAAGTTGCCATAACAGAATAACACTACGAGATGAAGCTAACAAGATAAATAGCAAAGATGTCGAAATAATATAATTATCTCTTTTGTCTAGCATCAGCATCACTATTTTTAAGTACGACAATGTCATTTGTATATTCTAAATGATATGTCCTAAGGTCATATCTGTTATTATATAAACACGATTTATTGTGTCACGATTCCGACCTTTAATTCCACTCTCTTATTTGGACGTACGGGTATACTGCACTTTGTGTTGCCATGCAGTGAAAGTAACTAGTAGCGAAAATTTCTCAGTCTAAATCGGTAAGGAGTATACAACAATAAATAAAGTGGCAGCCATCGAATCTTTCATGAGTGATGAGTTCAGAAATCCAGATAGATGACAATGAAAACTGATTCACTAGCCAACCAAATTACATAAAAAAATAACTGATTCATCTAAAACAAATTTCAGAAGTTGAAATTATGTTAACAAGTAGTAAATCACTACATTGAAAAATGTAATAATTTTTTCATAATAGTCTTAGAGAAAAAATTCAAAGATAAAAGACTAGCGTTATAAAATGGTGAGTATATTTATTTCTTCACGCAGAATAAAATGATGACATATAGTGGTGGATATTTAAGTTACCTGTGTGTTCCAAAAACTACATCGGCGTCCGGTGCTCCTTTTGGATGATTATACTTTACCCAGCGATCACGGTTCGCATTGACGGGGAACTGATGAGCCAAAACAGCATCTGGACCTCCGTAGTGACCTAGTAATAAAAGTCAAATATTGAAAATTTCTATCAATAATACAGCAGAACTCATAAACTTTAACATTCAGAAACCAAACTGTTATACAAGAGAATAGGTTACAAAACGACTGTAAAAATAAATCCATGAACCCCAGATTTGAATTTAGAAAGAGCCATATAAGCTATTACTGACTAACCCCACTCCATTTCTTCTTCTTTTTGAGCTTCATGCATTTCAAGTACTAGTTGTTTCATCCGAGCCCTTTCTTCTCTCTCGGCAGCTGCAGCTTGAATATAACGTGCTGCAAATTGTACTGAATCCGGGACTGCCAATGGAATTAGATGAGGTTTATTTCCACGACGCGAAACTAGTGTAAAGAGAACAGTATTCTAAAATAGTAGAAAACAGTTATGTGATTAGTAAAACCTCTAACGAGTGTAATGTTCAGCAGTAAAATCACATATGTGAGAGCGATCCGATAAGCTTAGAGAAACAAATCAAAGTACAACAGATTTGATAATAAACTTTGTGCTATAATACTGATCACATTAACCCATCAGAGTAAGTATGGCAAGAATGGATTATCCTAGCATCATTAATGTCAACCAAAAAGTAATCCATTTAAGGGAAGATCTCCATATTATAAGACTACAGAATTTCAAAACATAGATATTTCAATGTTAGATTTTAAACACTTACACGAGAACTGGAACCGATGACAATTTAGATACTAGGTATAAAACAGTTCTATTTGCTGAATAACTTGCTAAAATTGCCTCGAATACGAAATGGATTAACGGTACTGTTTCATTACTAACATACCGAACAAACGAACTAACATGGTACCCATACACAATTACAGTGCTCAAGTGAATGGGATAATAAGTAACTAGCTGTGGATTAAGACGGCACAAATAAAGAAAAATTTTTACTGTAAACTTTGCCAGTTTGAAATTAAGAGTTTGTAAACATAGAAAGCAAGACAAGACATCAATTCTGAAATACATAAAAACGCTCAGTTATCTTTTTTTTAGCATGATACTATTTCAGATTAAGTGAGAGTGGTATTTCATCATTAAGCATAAAGATTTGAATGGATTTTGCTTTAACAGTAGTTTTATAAATGAGGACAGTAAATTTGAATGGTTATCACGGTGGAAAATGTACGTATACGTTTACGGGCCAGTAAATTAAGTTTGTGATCGGTTGTCCAGTTTTTTCGTACCTAGCTATTACTAGGTCCTAATATTAGCAACCGTCTATCATCAGTCAGCAATATTTCATCGTTCCTTTTGATCGAATACGAGATTTCAGTTTTCATTTGTTTTGTTTCCAATTTAATCAGAATTAATTTAAAGTTTGTAACATCCGAACGAGGGATAAATGAATGGTAATTGATACGAATCATTTATCGACTATTATTACATATATTCTCATTGGATAATTATTAAGTAACCAGATTATATATATATATATATATATCATAAGCTTTCATTTGACCATTGGCTACGATTCACCATTCTCAACTTATTCCCAATCTAGTAGTTACAATCTCCTGTACTCATAACCACTATTGGTTTGTGATAATTATTATTTTTCATTTTATGGTGTAACGCGGTTTGGTCTCCTTGTATAAAAACCACGTGTCTGAAATGTACGATTCATATAACAGAGGCCGATATTTGTGTTTAGGACTCAACGGGCTGGACCAGGCCAGAAGATACTATAAAGAGGACTAATAAAGATTCAACGTTGACCATGGCTGCTAGTGCTGTTTGGCACATCACTGGTTTAGCACAGGGACACGGTCACAAAATTCGGTATTCTGACTAGCTATCTATCTTGTCACATGATAATCGACAGGCCTTAAGACATAATGCAGTGATCCTCGTTCGAAATAGTGCACTTAACCCATACAGCTTAAAAAGTAGTGTTAAAAAGTAACGGAAATAGAGCTAATTTCAAACAGTTTAAAATTGATCACAATAATATTACACTAAAATTATATTTCATGACCACTGCAGTCTCAACTGATTACATTTGCTACACAACTCGGCGAATTATTGACGAAATATTTTAGACATATGATTTTAGGTGATAACACACTTATGTATAAAATGTTACGTACTTGACTATCTTCACCATTTACAGCTGACAACGTATCCGAATGATTAATTTCTAAATTATCTCCATTAGATTTTGTCGGCACAGAATGAAGGGTTGAGTTATGATGATTAATCGCTTGCTGGTTAACTTTATTTGTCGATGAACTGCCATCTTTCATTGCTAAACGACTCTTTGCTGCTGCTAGTTGTAGTATTTCTGGAGCAGGAAGAACATTCACACTGAGAGTTCGAGATGATGCAGGATTTGTATCAGTACTAACATTGATAGTACTGGTTACACTAGTAACTGTACCACTGACACTACTACTATTACTCCCTGATGTAGATGACAATAATGCTTCGGCGATCATTTTATCTAAAGCTTCACAAAATGCAGTATCCTCAGGACAATCAATAAATCGTGGCTTCAACTCATAGTTCTGATCAATCTCCTCTTCCTCTGCTTCTTTTTCTTCTGTTTTCTCCTTTATACAGCAAAAAAAAACAATTGCCAAATCATCTAGTGATAATATTTCACAAGAGTTAATGAGAGCATACACAAATTAAAGTATGCAGATGAAATTAATTTACAAATTTGTTGAGGATGCATTATCACCAGTTACAACTTATGAAAAACAAACCAACATCGATTAGATTGAGATTCTGTTACAGTTAAATCATTATTCAGTGGGAACACTATTAAGGGGATTTCAACAGATTTTTACGATGATCTATGTTAATATGACAAATACTCAGTTTGAAATATTTTAACCATCGTTTTCTTACTGATATATAATCAGATGGGTTTTTGCGGAGATTGTAGTAATTTCAATGGTTAAGATCATGAGTCAGTTGAAGCTAGACCACCATGGAAAACCTGGAAGCACTGGACGGCCGTTTCGTCCTATTGTGGGACTCCTCAGCAATGCGCATCCACGACCTCGCCCCCTGCGAGATTCGAACCCAGGACCTACTGGTTTCGCGCCCGAGCACTTAACCACTAGACCACTGAGCCGGCATCCAACGGTGTTAATGTCTAACTTAAACCAATCCACGAAATTGAGCGACACATTCACCATTGTCTTCAGTGAGTTACTACCTCACAACAGTTCAACCAGGTCTGTTGTGAGGTAGTAACTCACTGAAGACAATGGTGAATGTGTCGCTCAATTTCGTGGATTGGTTTAAGTTAGACATTAACACCGTTGGATGCCGGCTCAGTGGTCTAGTGGTTAAGTGCTCGGGCGCGAAACCAGTAGGTCCTGGGTTCGAATCTCGCAGGGGGCGAGGTCGTGGATGCGCATTGCTGAGGAGTCCCACAATAGGACGAAACGGCCGTCCAGTGCTTCCAGGTTTTCCATGGTGGTCTAGCTTCAACTGACTCATGATCTTAACCATTGAAATTGATATATAATCGACAAACTTGTTGTATTCTGAATTGATTACACTGGACCTACATAGAAAAGCTTCATCTACAAAGTCTGGAATTTTGACTTGAGTAAGTGGGGTAGGGAAAAGAAGAGAATACGGGTAGTTTCGTTCACGATATTTAAGTTGGAGTAGTGAAGTGATTAGCGTAGTGCATGAATGTACGAAGACTGTTATTCGCATAACGGTTTTAAACATTGGATTTCAATATATATTATGCACGAACCGAGCCACTTACCAGTGTGAGATCAATATCCTCTTGAGATTGTTGGCTATCAACGCGAGCACGACGACGACTACCATCCGATTCTATCAAGTCAATAGATTGACGGCGTTGAGATGAATGAGTCTCACCTCCTTGTTCTTCATCTTCGTCATCCAAATCAGAATCTTCTTCATCCATAGAATACTCATCGTCACCCAGCTGGATGTCTCCTAAAAAGTTAAACAAAAACTATAAACTGCTCTCGAACGGCAAATAATTGAGACGTTTATAGTTATCCATGTGTTTGATTGGGAATAATTACATGGACATTGATTTTCTGGATAGTCCTGTCTGAATTGGTTTGAGTGAATGAACTCATATGTCTATATAATTAACCTTACGCTGAAGAAACACTACAATTATTTATCGTACATGAAGACACTCGCATAAGAACTTTGATCACGTTGGGCCCAACAATATTTCAGATAAAGGAATATGGCTAAAACGGAATACTAGTGTTTCTCAGTATACCAAGAAAGATTGAAATTCGATCGATATCCACGTCTGAATTGTGTTTAGGCTTTTAGGTTTTTCTTTCTTTAGTGATTTAGTTACGTACCCGGTAATTATGGAAACCAATATCTCAATACATACTGATCAATATTACATCAAGAGAAATTAATATGATTAGAAGCCGAGGCTAGTTGGATGAAAGACACCAGAGTCTCAAAATCGAACTAATACGTTAATTTAGTTGTTAACAAGACTTATAAATTAACCAATTTAGATCCCAAAGATTGAATTTTACTATAATTACCTTCTGCTATTTTTTTCACTGAGTGGAAAATCTGAATTACATAACCACATGTTTTTAATTGACTAAAACATCTCACAGTTGTTTACTTTGAATACAATTTACTTCAAAATAAGACGCCTTAATTTACAATAAAAATAATCGCTAATCTTGAAAACGTTATAATACAAATAACATTCTTGCTTTCTAGATTAATTAGTTTGTGTAACAGAAATTGCGTCATTCACACACGATGTGTTCCTGATTACTTGATTGTAAACTGTGGTCATAATAATTATGGGAATTTAAATGTACTCAATGACTCTTCATGAAAGCGGTGGAATTAGTGCAATTACTTAAAATGTTAGAAAACCTTACCATCTTCTTGTTCAGCCTCTTCAGCTATCGTGTCCATATGACCAGGACCAGTTGGTCGAAGTGATTTGTTCTCTGAAATAATTTTTAGGTCTTGACCACCATTTTCCACGTTTTCTGATTCACTTGTTAGTCCATATGTAGCCTTAAGGCGTGCAAGGCGTGGCAGGCATCGGGCTTCCAGATGACGAACGAGACGTTGTGCTTCTGTGAAATTTTTTGCTCGACCAACATTACCACGGAACTGTTGTAAAGTTTCAAAATATTGTTGCTCTACTGCAACAGGAAAACGCACAGGAACAAACATAGGTAGATTAGTTTGGGTATCTGAATTAAGACCAGAGATATCAACTGATGATTCAGGATTATTTAATACCAATGAATCTTCAGAATGATTTACAGCAGGCTCTTCAACCGAAGACGTTAGTTCGCCAGTATGGAGATCTGTCTTCGTTTCACTTACTGATTTGGCTGATAATAACTCGGCGTCGTTTATCGACTGCACCCATATAGGAAGAGAACGCTTGAACCAGTAGTAACGCTAGAATAACAAACGTTGGTGGAAAAAATCATACATAACACGCTAATTATGATGAAAAAAAATATTTTTTAGACGGTGAAAAAATGACCAGGAAATACATAGGGTACAACCATATTTGTAAAACAAGGACAATAATTCCAAGTGAATCCTATTAACCTACTTGCAACATCTATTCACTTTAGTCTTTGCTTAAAATCCTAACCAATCGAAGAAATTAGTCAACAATGAAGTTGCCAGTTTAATAACGCAATAGACACGAGAGCAAATCGTAGCTTTTTTGTTAAACTGTCAACTTCCGAAAAATATAACCAGTGAGACAGGTACGGATATGTAATTCTCATGTCAACGATCAACAGTACCAAAAGTGTCAGTTAAACGTATAAAATAAAATTGGTCAACAACAGTGAGATAGTAATTTGATTTTATTTGAAACATCCACAACACATATATGAATGACGATATTGAGAAAGTGCATTAAAAACTTGAGAATTTCAGAAAAATGACTGAATTAACGAATACGTTTTTGTAATACAAACCTCATATAAAAATATTGTATTCTTATTAATTTCACAACTTTCACGCATTTCAAGTAGTCAACGAACTGAGTGCTTTCAACAATGTTCAATGCATGAAAATATACTTATAGTATACACTTTAAAAGTAAATCTGAAAATCTGTAAACGAATGTTATATTACTTTTAACTTGAGTAGCGCGAACTTTATTCATAATTGAACTCATCATAATAAATTTATGATACGAATTTGTGTTAAATAATCAACTGAAGCTACTGGTCTTGAGAATATATTATTTTTATATAAGATATTTATTTGTTCATCCAAATACATATGTAGGTACAAAGAAGCACCAAAACAAATATGCCCCATACAATAAGGAAATGAGATTGTGACGAGATAGAGAAAGGAAAGTGAGTATAATTAGAAAAACAGAAAGTGAATAAAAACAAGTGAAGTTAAAGATAATGAAAAAGGCCATTCAGTCAAGAAACCTACAACCAGAAAGAATTCTTTCAGTTAGTCTCTCTCACTTTTATGAGAAAATTACAATAAAACCGCCATTACCTTCTATTCTGATGACGTCTGAAGTCGTTTTGTTATTTATCTCTAGAACACTAACCACGGGACCGCGAGTGACCGACAAATGCTAGTACTGTACAGCTTTCTTTCATACGACGAGGTTATGTCACAGACTGATCACCTGTTTCTTCCAAGTAGTCCCAGAGTTGACAAATAATGTACGATGTGAAATTTGATGGGACAATATTTGTAGTTCATGTTCAAGCCACCGAAGCCGGTGTGTCTAGATAGAGACGTTAAATGAATTATTGTCTCTGTATTCGAACACACGGTGCGTTATCAGTAAACTAAGACAGCTTACGAACTACTAAAACTACGTACAGTACTTCCAGGTTTACAACGATTGTCTAACATTGATCGATTCATGATTTTAATGAGACTCAACAATCTTCACAACGCTATCCTGTTAAAAATGAATAAATTATTAATAGGGAATTTATTTGTGGAAATCGTCAATACAAACGTACAAAAAGGATTTATATCTACTCAATACGTATTGATCAATTTCTTATAATAAACGCCTTGGGAAGCATACGTATTAAAAATTTCTTGTCTAGTAAATTATTTTTTATTTTCTTTGAGAATAAACAACAACATTATAATTACCTGAAAGTATATAAGGAATATGTTCAATTTTCGTCGCTTTTTACCCTGATCGAAGAAACTTCCAGATGTTTCAAGTAGCGTGCAAATTAATGTAATTCGAAACAATGAATCCGGCGGGTCGATAATACTTGGGAAATCAACTATAAAAATGAAGGGAAAATTGTTTCACGAAGAAATGTGATGTATTATTTGAAATAAGAGCAGCACACTCAAAACAATCATATATAACCATGCAAGTGACAATTGATATATATATATTACGTATTTTATCAGAGATCTTGGCGGGCTGCCAATGAAGCAAATATGTATAGAACAGTCGTTCCTTTTGAGGGAAATGTACACTGAGAAAAGTTTCCACTTGATTATTCTACAACTGAATAATTTATTCACTAATCGTCCTTCAACTACTGACAAGAAATATTAATCATGTACACATATTTGCATTGGTAACTTACGATCCAAGCTAACACCAAATGTGAGAAGAGAGTAAAGTGTTTTGAATATCACCGGAGAATCCACCAGACAATAGTTATACAACAAACCAAGGTATTTGACCATTACAATTCGACGCTGATTTAAACTGGGAAGGTTGAGCTGAAAAGCAAATAGAAGTGAAATCATATACAGCTTTCCGAGCCTGAAATAAGGTAAACTTCCATATATTCTGATGGTGAACATGTACAACTAAATACAAATTTTAAGGTCATTAAATTGATCAGAAGTGAAAATGAAACCATGGTGATTACAACAGTTACTTAACCGAGTACAATGACATGATAGAGAAAGTTACGCATGGCATTCTGTTTACTTGCTTTAAACAGTTCTTAAATCGACAAACTCACGAGCACTAAACAGACTTTTGTAATAAAAAACACCCAAAAGAATATGCAGATGACTATTTTGATAGAAAAGTGTCATAAAATAACGTAACGATTAAGACACCAGAGACAGCAATAGAGAAATTACTGTCACTCAGGTCAGGCGTAAATGTATTTTATTTTTATCAAACGAGTAAGGAATTCGAATACTTCTATATCCAGTACACTTTAGGTGGGTAGGACGTTTTGGATATTGATCGATGTGTACCATAAATGATTCATTTAATTTACATCTTTTTGTATATAGTTGAAAACTTAGAACTCGCTAACTTTACAATTGGCCGCCAGTCTTCGGTAGTTTATGAGATGCATTTAAGCCAGTGATAGAAAGAAAATTATTAGACCAGAATGTTCATTTTCGTAAAAAAGCCTTTGACTAACCTCCATTCCCACACGGATATCTTCGATGACATTGTCGACAACAGCCATGGCAAAGTCCGAATGATAGGTAGCCAACCCAGATAACACACTGGCTAGACAATTTATATTCGTATAGCGAACATCCCACGCCCTAGTGAAAAGGGTGCACGTAAATTCGACAAGCTATTGAAAGACAAAATAGCCACAAGAATGAATCAGATGTGTGTTGAGAATATTTTTTTCGATAAATGGTACATCATTTAACAGTTTTCAGGAAAATCACATTGGAACGAGAGAAAACACCTAAATGGAAACTCAATAACAATAAAACTCAGCTAACTAAGACCTATTAACGAAGCACTTAGAACGCCATGCCAACAATTATGGACTATTTATTTATATCTGTTGAGTGAAAATTAGTGATACGACATGACTGGAAAAAGCAAGAGACAGTAAATTGGTGGACCACTAAGGTATAGTCATGATAACATGGAACTGTAATCAGGAAAAAATGTTGCATAGTATGAAGTCAGAAAACTATTTAGACTTAGTAACCAAGTGCGGAGTCTTCAAATGATTTTCTAAGAGACTTGTCGTCAGGACTGATTGCAGTAACCGGTTAGTTTGACTGAAGTGGAATATGACTCACACTTAACAGTTAGCGAATGAAAACTCGATGTTTACATTCGTAAATCATACCCAAAACTGTGATGTCTTCATCTTGGAATAAGTTTTTTTAACTGAAGATCAACAATCTTTTTGTGACATGCTGTTGATTATTGTCAAATCAGGTACACATTAAGACGACTTATAAATTATTGTACAATGAGCTCAATAATTACCCACAATTTTAAAGTTATCAATCTGAACACAGAAAGCGATGAAATTTGTAAAATCGTGACAGTAAGACGTCTAAACTTACTTCCTGATCATCCCAATCCATTTTTCGAATTAGCCGTAAAGTAGTATTAACGGTAGTTCGGTCCAATTTCGTTAGCAAAATATGACGTATAAACATCATTTGAGGTGTCAACTTCACAGGTTCGACAATCTAAACCATTTAGAAAGAGAAAGATAGACGAATTAATGATTATATATATGGACTACAAATCTACTGGACATCTGATTTACTTATTTATACAATGAAATGAAGTAGTACAAATAACTCCGAGTACTAATTACACAAACTAAAAGGTATTTATAATTAAAAAATTTCACTTTCCAGTTCGTTTTTGAATGTATATTTGACACTGCTATCGTTAAAACATTTAGACACTATGCTATGCAAACTTAGTAAATGAGGCTCCATTAGAATTCTCTAACAATTTATGTGATTACTGACCGCCTTATTAATGAATAAATAATTTAAATTATTACTATAACTCAGCATTTATTACCAAGTTTTGTGTATGCTTTTTGATTCATATACGATAAACTCAAAATATTTACAGGGTAAATTATACCAACCGAACAATCAATATGAGCTATAAAAACAAAACATAAGTAAAAAAAAATAGTACAATATGAAAGTTAGTAATGTACTGTTAGTATTGTATATCATATTTATGAATCATAAGATACCTGGCGATTGGACGGTGGTGGATTACAATAATAATATGTATTTTCAATCATAATAGAATAACGCTGATCCATATGTAAAGCAACTTTTTTTCTAAGCATTATTTCCAAATAAACTTTTGTACGTTTATGTGATATAGGTAAACGATAAAGAAAACGCCCACAAGTATCCAATAAAGCACAGGCCATATCGATGTTATGGTGTACAAATTGAGGAAGAAGTTGTTTTAAACAAGTCAAAGCTTGATGAGCTGGATAAATCTTAAATTTGACAAGTTCCCCTAAAAATAAAAATAATCAGAGGAAAACACTCTCGAGGTTATAAACAACTTTATTTGGAAGCATGAATAGACATTAATAACTAAACAACGCCTATAAGCGAAATCACAGAAAATGTAGTCATAAACCTTGAAACACAAATCTACCGAAGAAATGGCCTAATTTAGTATGTACATACAATAACTGAAAGCGTGATAAATGCATAGTAGCTGCTAAGTTTAGTCTATAAGGTAATAACATTATTTAAACATGTACAGACATCATCAACAGAGTTTCACATATGCTTTGGGGCAAGCTAATAAAATTGATTAGCATGACGAGATGAAAATAACAAGAAATCGAAATAATAGTGTCAATGATATAAGGAAAGACTGTGCCTTAAGAATATGATTTTAAAACACAGAGTGCGTAGATATACATGAAGGCATACTGAAATTTAGGATCGAGAGGAAGATAAAAGGTGAATGCATTTGGGCTATTGTGAACAATTTTGAGCCATATTGCGCAAAGTCGCTAACCACAATTAAACCTAAGGGTATTAAACTAACCTGTAACATTTTAAAACTCATAGTTAGACCGATTACAAATCTAATGTCATTATAGTCAAAGTAGTATAAAATCACCAAGTATACATTACCAAGTTACGAAAATATTATGTAAACTCACCAATAAATCGAACCACTTTCAATTTGGATTCGATATTTAATTGATCTCGTTTAGATAGACGCCAACGGAATTCTGCAGTAAGCATAGAATTGATATCTTGTACCAAGTCAGGCATCACTGGGGCTAATGAAGCCACAAGGCGCGCATAAAATGGTAATAAATCATAACGCGTTCTTGGAACACTAAATAAAGCTTTAGCAAGCCGTCGACGATTGGCCCGTTTATTTAAATTCAAACAAAAGTCGATAGCTGCCTGAGATGGAAATTAAAAAGGTAGTGTTTACTTCATTTAAAAACAAAGAATCCATCATTTGATCAAGTAGCTGCAATATTCTTAACACATTTTTTTACAATGTAACTGGAAATTAAATCATTTCTTTAGATTAACATCAAAGTAAAATGCCACTTTTAAAATGGGACGCATAATATTTAAAGCCATTACCTTGGTAAGAATTGTCAAGATCATACCACAATACATATTTCCCTTATGTGATCTACCGTGTTCTGTATCCGCTAACATTAGCAATTCTGAGGAACTACTGAATTTAAAGTGAAGAGAACACATGTAAAGACACAACATACATACATATTTTAATTTAGTATGACTATAAGTGAATTAAACCCTGCAGTCCAAACATTGTCTTTTATATTCTGAATTTTTAGATGTACTATTCCAATCCCTTGAAGAAAATGTGTAAACCCAGACAAATTTTGCCAATTGACTATTTTAGTAATATTACAAATTATCCGACCATTTTTATTTGGAAATTACCCTTACTTGTATACGGCTAAAGAGGTAACACCATAAAAAGAATTATTCGATATTCACATGAACTTGTTTGTTTTACCGAAATCCCTAAAATACATTGTACGAGATTTCTTCCAGAAAAAGTAACACATGTAAATCCAATGGCAACTGTTACCAAGTCACAAAAGCAAAGAGTATTTTTAATCTGCTGTGATTTACTAACACTTTTAACGAAAGGTGGCTGTTGTTGAACGTTTGCAGTTCCCGATACTAGTCGAAAGTCAGGAATAAATACATTGTAAGATAATAATAAGAATACTAATCACTTCAATTAATACTGTCATAAAACTACAGTCTTTAGATTTATGGATGAAAATAGACTTAATATCTGAGACTTTTAAACTATGGGAAACATATTCTGTGGATTTTCAGTGAAAATTAGTGATACTAAAGACAAACCGATAATAAAGTATATGTTTTTTCTGAATCCCTCATAAAACCAATCAAATATACCGAAACAAATTCTGATGTCGAAATTCAGAGAGGTTTATTGCAAGTTTTCAGACATAATATTTACTTACTCGATCGATGAGATCCCGATTAATGCAGTTTGGTAATTGCGTTAAAAACGTTTCCATGAGAACTTTCCCCGAAGGATTTAGATCTTCTTCACCTAACGACATGAAAAACATTGAAACAAACGTACGAATAATGACAGAAGTTATCCCCGTAAAGTGAAAAACACAAATGTTACGAGCAATAACTACTGTTGGTTACCAAAGTTATCAATAATTTATAAAGCAGAACAGGGGAGTTTATTGTAAGAAGTTAGACTTGTATATCTGAGAATTGGGTAAACGTAATTCTGAGTTGTTAAATTACATCGCTATGAAATCAAAAAACGAATTTTCGAGTTTCACAGTAGACACAACGATATGTCAATGTAATTATCAGGATCGTATGATCATAAAGTAGTTTACACGCGGCAGCATTAAACCAGTTCTAAACTCCAAAGCATGAAATACTAGGATTCAGTGAGTATGTAAAACAGAAACATTCCTAGAAGTACTGTATATCATAGTTCGAACAAGTTGCACTAAAAATCTCGAGATTATGTATAAGACTTAGTACATCACATCTTCAAATTCTATCATGAACCTTTACAACATAAAACAGCAAATAATCACTGCATACAAACATTGTGAAAAAAACATACCATCATCGGTATTTAACAGATATGGTTTTGATTTATCAGGTATAGATGTGCAATTAGTTGATTCATTACCATCTTCTGATACTCGAATTAATGCTTCTTCTTTAGCTAATTCTGATTCAACGGTGTCAATATCAATATCTACAATGAATGAAGAGAAGATTGCAATATAACATCAAAATGTTCACAGCAAGACAATTATGACAAAATTCAGTTGGTCAAATGAACAGAGCTAATGATCACAAAGATGTTAAGGGTCAACAAGAATCTTTTTAAAATTTGACATACATAGACTATTGAATTGATAGTTGTAACTGGTCAGTCAGTCAGTCAGTCAGTAACAACGTAGAACTTCGTACGTACGTACATCAGTTCGAGTTGCCACACCACATTAGCACAGAGATGCAGTGGTCGATTCAAATCCCGTAGTGGTAGAGGTGGTAAGAGTATAAGCAGTAATCGGAAAGATTAGGGTTTGAAGATGTTATTCAAGGAGTATAATACAGTGAAATAAATCTGGAATGAGAAGAAAAAAAGGGACGTGAAGAATTCAGAAGATTAGAATTTGAGAGAACACAGAGAGTGGATGCACCTGCGCCATTGCAAAGGATTTTGAGCCATGTCATTCAGGGTCTCTAACCATCGGTTGCTATAATCTCGCGGTCCCCAATTAGGTAGTCTACACCTACCAACATGACTCAGTTCACTTGTCAGTGACTTCATGGACTTGTGCCATGATTCGGTTTGGCCGCCCCTAGCTTTCTTCCAACCTACTCCTATACCACTGAACATAGCACGTCGAGGCAGTCGGTGGTTGGGCATACGTAACACATGTCCCAGCCATCCCAACTAATGAAGTTTCACTACTTCATCAATTGATTTGCCATCCTTACCTAGTGCCCGTTTCCTAACAACTGCATGACTTACTTACTCGATGGTCCCATGATATACGAGCAATGTTTCGAAGACACCTATGATCAAATACTAGTAGCCTACGGATTTCCTCCACTCTTACCGGCCATGTTTCACTGCCATAAAGTAGGACGGAACGAACTGCTGCGCAGTAAACACGTCCTTTGGTTGATAGACGGATATCTCGCCTACGCCATAAATGACGCAAGTTGGCAAAAGCTAGTCGACCCTTCTGTATCCGTGCTGAGATTTCGTCACACACCAGACCACAAGGGCTGATGAGACTTCCAAGATAAGTGAAGCGGTCGACACTCTCAACTACTTCACTCCCTATCACTAGTTCGGGTGTTGTAACTGGTAGCAATACTTGTTAACAAATCCCGAAGAAACATCTGGATTCGCATAATCCCTTTTCATAGGTATTGTGTTTTAAGTCAATTAACTAGTCATAAATCATTAAGATCAACTACCTTACATTTTGTAATACACAGTTTAGACCAGCAATCAAAAACTTCGTAAACTGGTCTCATGTTAATTGCGAAATACATTGAGGTATGTGGACATTAATATTTCAAACTAACATGGGATATGAAGGATATTGACTGGATATATATACATACAGCTTTGACTGTTTTTACTGATTTATAATGACGACTTCCTAGATTCGATTATTTTCAATGTTTACAACCCAACTCCAACACATGAGGATATTACTTCAAAGTCAGTAATCAAATACCTGTGTTCCTACATTAGTAAAATAAGTAAAGTTATCTTTTATCTATTTATATTTATTTTTATTTCACAGCTTTCTTAGTCAGGATAGGAGTTAACGACTAAAGAAATAGTAAAATAACGAGTATACCTGACCTTTGGTATGGATTCTAGTTAAGCGCAAAGAACATAAATACCACACCATTGATCATTTGTTCAGATGAGGACTTTAATGAAAATGCAGTGGGTGAGTTGCTTGAATGTGTGCACGTCATACCCTAAACAAAAACCAAATTATATGTCGACCACGGCATTACAAGATAAAAACTAAATCAATACTACTTGAAAATAAGACAGTAAGTAAATATTAGTTAATACTACATAATATATATATCTTAATATGAAGTACGAGTAAACGAATCTATTGGGGGGGCACTTAGTGACCGAACCACTTGGCTTTTAATCGATGTTGTAATCTAAATCCTGCCCTGACTAGCCGTCATTAAAGTATGGCTCAAGAAGACGCATGTAAATCTGTACTTAGTGAATGATTTAGAATATTATTAATAAACAAATCAAGACGATTTTTTCAAGTATTTGATTTCGAGGTCGTGTATAACAAATTGTCGCTCAGTATGATGATGAAACAAGAGTTGAGTTCATGACATGTATACCTTATATTTTGTGCTTGATTACCCAAGCCGAGAGTAAGATTGGAAACCATAGAAAGCACAAACCGGTATATTTTTTATGAATCAGGTATGTTCGTTGAATAGATAGTGCTGTAATTTTGCTAAATATGAATTATAAATACCCAACAAAAAAGGCAACTAAATGCATTTTATATAGCATCAACATTGACAAATAAAATTCACTTGACCCAAAAATACATCCATAAAATATTATGAGGAACTTATGAAAATGTTGGAAGTAAATCTTACCTTCACTTCCGGCAGGATCTCCATCCTCATTCTTTGACTGATTTGATTCTACACCAGCTTGTTCACTTTCTTTATAAAGGATCTATTAGGAAACAAAGTACACATGATAAATATATACTGGTACCGGTAATAAAGCAAAAACAGGAAACAAACATACAATTATTTTGTGGATAATTTTCACACAAAAAGTCCCACTCACAGAAACTGACTATTATTAAGTAACTAATGGAACAGAAATGTTTCACAGGTGACTAAGCAAAACTTTCTAGAAAAAATACATCACAAAAACAATCATGAAGACAATGATTTGGAAGTTAATTGCTTTGGCAACACTAAAAGACCGTTTACACACATTGAGGCAAACAGTAAACTCATAACATTTTTCCTAGTTGAAACTATGAGGTACAATATTCCATATTTAATCGACGTTTTCAGTAGAGTAATAAAATGGATTTTTAAAAGCATGTGTTAAGGCTAGCCAAGTATCACTTGTAAACGAATAAATCAAATACTCACTAGACCATATCCGAGTAACAGGATTAAAGGTTACCTAGATGTAGATTACAATACAAAATACAAAGCAGTAAAAACAGTACAAAAAGTTAACAACAGGTAACTAACCGCAGGTACCATTGCTTTGATATCAGGTAGACTTTCGTAAAATAAACGTGTATCTTCATCTTCAAACAGATTAACCTCTTCATGAATAACTTTCTGTAATTTTAAATTTGATGATTAATAGATTTATCACTTACTTCGACTGAATCAGGTGCGGTCAAGTCTGACATAGATTCATCTATAAACGACAAAGATGTTATTTAATTTGAGTTGTATAATATGTTAAGCAATAAAATATTAAACCAATATGGTCAATTTACCTATCGTAAATTGTCTGGATAAATGAGTAATACAAAAAGTCAAATGAAGGAAACTAAATTTACCATACCATTATATGTAGTTAATGAGCACCTAAATACAAAATAAATCTCTTAATAACATTCTTCGAAAGCGTGGTCTACTTAGAGCCCCTTTATCGTAGGCTTATTTGGTATTTAAGTCAAGCCTTTCTCGCTTGTATTTCAACTAACAATTACACCGTCTTGTATGGCATGGGTTATGAAACCCACTATTTTTGTTATTTTCAGTACTGAAGTTCAAAAGAAACCTACGATAGAGTTGAACTCGGACCAATAATAACCAGATTAATTCGAAATTAAGCATTCATATACTGACCCAGGTACAAGCCTTTGAACGGAAGTTAACTATCAAGCCATTTAAGTCAATAAAGATGAACTGGAACCTGAACTTGTGAGTTGGTTCCATTAACTACTGCGCTACATTACAACTTCAGCGATCAATCAACCAATTTACATGACTGGATAACTATATCTCAATCCTATACAAACTCCTAAGTGTTGTTTATTTATGTGAAACAAGTTGATAATACTTCATACTAATTAAACAACCATATCTTTTCTTTACAATTCACATATGGCTGAATTGAAAAGAATAATCAACTGAAATGAATGAACTCAATAATAAAAGGCAAGAAATAATAGAATATTTCAGAAACAAAAAAATACAGAATGAATATATCAGTGCGACTGGTACCTGCGCCCAACCATATTACCTAATTTATAACCACTACATTTGGTTATCAAGTGAGATCACATTACGAAGACTGCAACTCCACTGTGTTACAGACTAACAATCACCTTTTTCATTAACCGGTATTATTTTTCAATCTGTTAACCTTTTGTTTCTTATTAGCCTGCTTCTACACTAGCCATTATAACCAACTGGGAACAGACGATGAAAGGACAGGAGTGACTCGTACGTGAACGACATCAGTGGATGAAGTTTTATAACCTTATTAACTAATTTACAGTGTCTATCCGACACTCATCTTTTAATACCAGCAATGCTTACTTATTAGTTGCACAACACCCAAGTAATATTTTGAAGGTATTTTTTGGTTGATATACACAAATCATCTGTATTTGGTATCCGGTGTTATGAGTTGTCTCATATATACACAATGAAATCAAACTTGCCTTTTATCATAGATGAAAAATCAAGTGGTGGATCTGCGTCCAAAAGATCAGCTAAAGTACTTAAGGACTCATGAAATTTACGACAGGCTGACATTAAATGCTCCGCCCGCTCTTGCCTCTCTTCGCTAACTTCACCACGACTTTCGAGTTGGTCCCTGTTTCCTGAGATAATTCGTTGGGTTTCTTTGAACATATTTTGTAAACGATGCATCGCTCCAGCTAGATAGTCATTGAATAGTGTACGACACTTTGCTTGACGTTCAGATGACATGAAGACGGAACGTGGAACCGGCATTTCATACTTTTCAGATAACAGTCTGCATGAGATTAAAACACATGAAATAATTAATTCATTCACAACTAACAGAACACAACATTAAATGTTATGAGCTGATTGGGAAAACCATCGTGAAGACTTCTGGCTTGAGAGTCTTTCGGTTTAACACACTAAGACCCCATTTACATAGTACTGGCTCTCCAAAGTTGTCTTAAAAGATTTCTTGCATCAGTTCATAAAAAAAAGTTGAATAGCAAAGGAATATCGGAACATACGTTAGTCATTAAAATGTATTTCCGTTTGAATACCCGACCGTAGCTGCTACCTTGACGCGGTGGTCGGGCTTGCCTATCGTGATGACCCAATCGAGTTATATTGGCTGGAGCATATGTTCCTGTAGGTCCTACCATGCCAGGCAGGTCGATTGGAGAACGGTAAGACTAAAAGCAGCAACTCAAGGTCTGAGGGCGAAGTCGTACTGCTGACTGTAAGGGAGTGATAGCAGTAAGTCGTTTCCCTCGGACAACCAGCATCTGCAGCGATGCTGCCTTCTCACAAGGAAGGAAGGGGTTAGAAAAGTTCGACCCTAAAAATATCACACCTCACCTTACCTCACGGATTTCTGTCTCCGACGGTAAGGCCCTTTGAAGAACGGAGCTAACACGTCAAAAACTTCCCACAAAAAGGCCGTGCGCGACCGGCCTCAAACAGTTGTCCCTTGGGCTCTGCGGTCACACTCCCAGGTCGTTAAGGCCAACATTAATCTAACTTCCTTTTCAGGTTCCTCAAGAAATACCCTTCCATGGTGTGGGCAGCCGGGAAGTGACATCACCCCTCATACCCGTAACAGCACACGAAACCAAGTTGGTCACATTCGAATCCTCCCTACACCTAATACCTCTTTTATCTCCCCGACTAACCCTTTTCACGTCCCTTTATCACCTCGCACCGCTAGGGCAAACGATTCGAGTACGCGGAACGTTATTCCTGGTCTCCTGAAACCACGCTCTACACTTCATGTTGGAGCTTATAACGTCCGAACACTGTGCCAAATAGGACAACAAGCTTCCTTAGCTAGGACTTTAGAATCTCGAGCCATGGATGTGTGCTGCGTCTCCGAAACGCGCATACAGGATCCGAGTAGCGTCATTCGTTTGACCTCACCATGCCTAAATAAAGAACCGACTCGATTTACGCTTCGTGTATCTGGAAGCCCTGATTCTGCTTCCCGTGGCCTCGCCGGCGTAGGTATAGCATTGAGTCCCAGGGCAGAACTAGCTCTCTTAGAATGGATCCCAGTAGACAGTCGTTTGTGCGCTGTCCGACTGAACGGAACAGTAAGGATCCGAAAAGATAGGGACACTCGTCGTTGCCTCTTCGTCGTCTGTGCCTATTCTCCCACTGACTGCAGCTCAGATGATGTAAAAGATGAGTTTTACAGAAAGCTTTCGGACCTTCTCCGAAAAGCTAGGCGCTCTGATGCAGTAATAGTGACCGGTGACTTTAATGCTAAAGTAGGTAAACTAAGCGATAAGGAAAGAAACCTAGGTGGATCTTATAGCATCGTGGCTCAAAGAACAGATAATGGCGACCGTCTGTTGCAGCTATGCTCAGATAACCGCCTCTTTCTTGCAAATACTAACTTTAAGCATAAGCAAAAACATCTTTTGACATGGCGACCCCCTAATTCATCCCAACGTCGGACCCAGATAGATCACATCGCTATCAGCCACCGATGGAGGGGCTCGATAGAAGACTGTCGCTCATTCTGGAGCACATGCTTAGATTCACATCATGCTCTGGTACGAGCGCGTATTTGCCTGCGTCTTACTGGACGTAGGAAAGACGCTGCAAGGAAACCTCTTAGGGGCCTATTAATTGATAGTCAAGCTAAGAGTATATTTCAGGAACAACTAGAAAAACAGTTAGGCAGCCATGTATGTGATGCCCACCCCGAGGCAGCATGGAATGATATCCGAAAAGCTGTAGAAACAGCAGTGATATCTGCTAGTAAGGTAAACCACAAGGTTAGGGAGAAACACTGGATCTCAGCAGCATCTATCACACTGATAGATACTCGGAAACTCATTCCACCTGGCTCTGAACATAATAAAGAGCGGAGTCAGCTTAAGCGCAAGCTGACAAGAAGTCTAAGCAATGATCGTGAACAGTGGTGGGTAGCGAAAGCAAGAGAGATGGAAAAGGCAGCGGCAATAGGTAATAGCAGACAATTGTTCAGACTCGTTAAGAAAACCGGAATTAGGAACCCGACCGTTAGCGAAACACTCCCAGAGAAAGATGGACATATTATACATTCTCAATCCAGGAGATTGGATCGATGGGCAGAACACTTTAGGTATCAGTTCAACTGGCCTTCAGTATCACTTCGGTTTCTCATGATCTCCAGTCAACGTGAATGGCAAGTTAATGTAGGTCCTCCGTCTCTTTACGAAGTTGAAAAAGCCATAGGAAATCTGGAGAGAGGGAGAGCAGCAGGCCCTCATAGGTTTACTCCTGAGATTTTTAAGGATGATGGTTCAGGATTAGCAGTGAGATTAACTGAAGTCTTAGGTAGAATTTGGGAACTGGACGTAATCCCATCTGACTGGTCTCAATCACTGATTGTGCCAGTCCATAAGAAAGGACAAAAGTCCTCTTGTGACAATCACAGAGGAATCAGTTTGACAAATATAGTGTCTAAAATATTAGCTTCAATAATACTTCGACGCCTAACCAAAGCTCGTGAAGAACAGATTAGAGAAAATCAGGCTGGTTTTCGACCTGGACGTGGTTGTATAGACCAGATATTGACAATACATCAGGTTCTAGAACACAGACACACATTCAGACGCCCCACAATGGTAGTATTTCTCGACCTTAAGGCAGCATTCGACTCTGTTGATCGTAAGGTTCTATGGCAGTTTTTGTCACTGGAAGGAGTACCAAAGAAGTACATTAACCTTATAAAGGCTCTTTACTCGAACACAACTGCTAGAGTGAGAGCTTATGGCGAACTGTCATCAGAATTGATTACCTCAAGTGGTGTTCGTCAGGGCTGTCCATTCTCTCCATTCTTGTTTAACTTTGTTGTTTACGTGCTTTTGGAGATAACACTTTCTTCATCTAAATTTCTAGGGGTTGAACTTCTACCGGAAGATTCACTTTTTGACATAGAATATGCCGATGACATAGTTCTATTTAATGAAGACGCTGACAAAATGCAGAGTCTTCTGACCACTCTAAGCAACAATGCAAGCATGTTCGGGATGAGATTCTCCCCACCGAAATGCAAAATGTTACTTCAGGATTGGGCTGCATCGACACCCGAACTAATTATAGGGAGTGAAGTAGTTGAGAGTGTCGACCGCTTCACTTATCTTGGAAGTCTCATCAGCCCTTGTGGTCTGGTGTGTGACGAAATCTCAGCACGGATACAGAAGGGTCGACTAGCTTTTGCCAACTTGCGCCATTTATGGCGTAGGCGAAATATCCGTCTATCAACCAAAGGACGTGTTTACTGCGCAGCAGTTCGTTCCGTCCTACTTTATGGCAGTGAAACATGGCCGGTAAGAGTGGAGGATATACGTAGGTTACTAGTATTTGATCATAGGTGCCTTCGAAATATTGCTCGTATATCCTGGGACCATCGAGTAAGTAATGCAGTTGTTAGGAAACGGGTACTAGGTAAGGATGGCAAATCAATTGATGAAGTAGTGAAACTCCATTAGTTGGGATGGCTGGGACATGTGTTACGTATGCCCAACCACCGACTACCCCGACGAGCGATGTTTTATGGCGTAGGGCCCCCAAATGACCTAGTATGGCCGAGAGTAAACTGGACCCGCCCTCCCTCTCGAAATGCTCTCACATGGCCACGCGTATATAGCCTCTGCCAGGGAAGTCCTACTCACTGCCTTCTCGTGGCGGGGGTGTTGTTTACGAAAATGAGAGGACGAAAAGCGAATGTCCGGCGCTTTAACCGGATCCCAAACCAATGGTGCACATGGGCTCCAGTATCCTGTGGGAACAAATGGCGTATGAACCAATCGTTGGTCACCGGCTACCATGGGACTGCGTCTCCTCACGATGCTCCACTGCCTTGTGGGTCAGACCTTTAGGTCAAAGGCTCGGGGTGTGGACCCCTAAGAAAACCACCTGCTTCGGTCTGGGCACCCGAGCAGTATCACAGCCTTCACACATATCGAATGAGATTTGTGTGGCGCATATGTATTTGGTGCCTCTTTGTACCAATATCTGTGTTGAAATAAATAAATAAATTATGGTATAGGAGTAGGTTGGGAGAAAGCTAGGAGCGACCAGACCAAAACATCGCACAAATCCATGAAGTCACTGACAAGTAGACTGAGCCATGTTGGTAGGTGTAGACTACCTAATTGGGGACCGCGAGATTATAGCAACCGATGGTTAGATACCCTGAATGACATGGCTCAAAATCCTTTGCAATGGCCCAGATGCATCCACTCTTTGTGTTCTCCCAAATTCTAATCTTCTGAGTTTGTCATGTCCCTTCCTTCTTCTTTCTAAATTTATTTCACTGTATTATACTCCTTGAATAACATCTTCAAACCCTAATCTTTCCGATTACTGCTTATACTCTTACCACCTCTACCACTACGGGATTTGAATCGACCACTGCATCTCTGTGCTAATGTGGTGTGGCAACTCGAACTGATGTACGTACGTATGAAGTTCTACGTTGTTACTGACTGACTTGAATACAAGTAGCATGATTTAAAAAGTTGTATATATTCAGCCATATTTTGGAGCATGTATATGATAAAAACAACGGAGTTTCATTTCACATGGACAATTATGCCATCCATGCATTATCTGAAGATTGACGGCAACACCTGAGGGTGGATAAGAAATATATCCTAAGACAAACGAATTCCCGTTGCTCACAGTTGTTTATCCTAACCGGTAATATGCTGTGTAGTAGCTGACTATAGCTTGAGTAGTTGAAATACTCTCATTTTAATCCCTCTTCAGAATATATATATATATATATATATCCCTGCACAAACTTAGGAATCATCTACCACTGTTATTATTTATTTGAACACATAAATATTGATACAAAGGGGCACCGAATAAATATGCGCTACACAAGTCACTTGATTTTCGTGTGGGCTGGGATACTACCCGAGTGCCCAAACCGAAGCAGGGGGGTTTCTTAGAGAGCACACCCGGAGCCTTGGACCTAAAGGTCTGATCCAAAAGGCAGTGGAGCCACGTCAGGAGACGCAGTCCCATGGTGGGCGGTGATCAACGATTGGTTCATACGCCATTTGCTCCTTTAGGATCCTGGAGCCCATGTGCATTGGTTGGAATCAGGGTTTTCCAACCTCCTTAGGTGGACCCTCCATATCTACCAACCTGGTTAATGCGCCGGACATTTAACTAACATACTATCCGATATTATGGTCGACGGATAGTATATGAGATAACATAACTCGATATAACAAGACCTGATCAGATTGCATGAATTCCACACTACACTTACCATGCTAGAAGAGTTAGTAAATGGATGTAATTAACCTAGTTTTAAAGTACCAGTAACATGATTTGACGGTCTGATAATTTGATAGGTGCCTTGAAACAGAAATATATCTGTAAAATCCGTAATTTTTATAGCATTAGCTGACAATGTTTGTTCCTTCAACTATCGATACGCTCGTTAGCTTTCAGTCTATATATTTTTTCAAATGGCTTTCAAAAGATGGTGAAGCGTCAAAAGACAAATCAGTTTAGTGTAATTTTACAGATATATTAGTACTCTTATGAGCATTCAAGTTACTTTTAGTATTCTGTGAACTTAATTGTGCACCATTACGATAGGAAAAATGAAAATGAATCATATTAGCATGTGAGACTGTAGTTAAAAGCCGTGAAAATATAGCTTTTTAAATTTCACATAAAGCTGAATTAATAACATGCTTAAACGTTCAATCGATTTACCGTATACGACGCGGAATGACTCCTATCCAGTCGTCACTGCAATGTCTACAGAAGCTACTAATTATCCCGATATTGGAGAAGTTATCATGATCATTTGCAGTTAGAAGAGTCAATTGCCCAGCCAACAGTCGGATACCATCAGCGTCTCGAAATATTCCGATTGTATTAAGATCAGCGAATAAGGCCAGATCAACTCGTAGTTTGGAAAGATTAGTGTTCTAGGGGATCTCTTCAAAAAATTATTCTGATTACCTTTAAATCTTTGTGGGAAGAGAATGATTTCTTCCACGCATCAAAAAACAACACTCCAAAATCTGAATACCGTTGGTACATCGCTGAACATAATTTCAACATAAAAGGAATATCAGTTAATTTTATTTTCGCTTCAACGATCGCGGTTGCGACTTCTTCGACATATTTAGAAAGATTCAGGGACTCGAACTCTGATAAAAGCGCATCTTTCTGGCTATCGAGAAAGTTTCGCTGCCAATTTTTTTAAAATTCGCAAAATATTCAATCTTACCACTTTCTTGACAAAAGCAGTATTCTTTTTCAAAGTTGAATCCTTTTTTACGAAGAAGGAATCATCTGGCCATTTGCCTGCAACTGCTAAATTTTGCTCCAACAGTGTTGTTCTCAAAGACAAACGTTCAGAAGCTTCAACAATGAACTCGGTTACTTGCTTTCGCTGAAAAAGTTACTAACTAGCTTAAAAAACATACATCTATTTCGGACATAATTTGATCTTGTTCATTCATTTTTAGTTCATTTAGAAGTTCACATTACACTCCTGTAAAAAAGAGAAAAGTTTTCCACAAATCAGGAGTGGTTAAACAAAGCCACTGAGGATTGGATTGAGCCTCGTTAACATGTACATACTATTTGGGTTATGCGTGATTATCGTAACCAGTGATTAGACTTTGAATGACATTGCTCAAAATCACTTGCGATGGTGCAGGCGTATTTACTCTTTGTATTCCCCTAGATTATAAGTTTCTAGATTCCCCATACACTTTTTACTTCAATAATTTATAATTCTCCAATCGTATCTTTGATGGCTCGTTTTATTACCAATAATACTGTTACTAACTCGACTACTCTGAGGTTTGTCCTAACAACGTCGCGTTGCTGTGTTAGTGGAATGGGGTAACTTGAACCGGTGTACAAAAGCACCAAGTCCTACGTTGCGTTTGACTGATTAATTACTCATTCTGTATTAGAAACGGTAAAATCTACGGTATTTAGTTCTTCTTGCATGACGGAAAAGCACACAGTGACAGTGACTATCAGATAACAATTGTTGAAAAAGTTTTCCACATTGTTTGACATCTTAATTTACCTTCTTTATTGTTAATTTATCTTCTCTATGATGACGTGAAATGTAGCAACTTTAAATAATACAGATTTATGAAATGTCTTACCCTATTTTGATATCGACTAGTATATTATTGACAGCAAGTATATTATTCCATAAGGAATATCTAACAACAAAATAACCATAAGTAGTACAATTCAAGAATATCGACTAGCAAGCTCTACAAAAATGTGATTATTGCCTAATACTCTAGGGATGGTTACTTGGTTTTCCCAAATTTGGCCGATTTTTCCATAGAATAATAGTCTAAAATACGTTATTACGAATTAACGATCAACTGATTTTAAGTCATATTTCTGAAGAATGGATTGACCTCCGATACTCTTATAGTTACACTGTTATGCACTAACCATTTGTTACATTTTATTGACAAGCAAAAATAACTTCCTAAGTCGCTAATTTAATAAAAAATTAGTTATGGCAAATAATAAACGGATATACTGGATAATTACTTTCAGACTATTGATTAGACTGCTGAAACCAAGCCACCATTTGCTTTTAATGGGTTCTTACCCTTAAAGTAACACTCTCCTATCATTATGATAGTTCAATCATTCATTGGCCGAGACGGTGAACATAATTTTTTTTTAATGAAAGAGGTAGCTAACACTTGAAGATGTCAACTTCATTAACCAAGAAAAAATGGGCAAAAAATCCCAGTCAAAAACTTTAAGTGGAGTATGGAAGACCCTATAACAGGTTGTACAGACAAATATAAACAAGTTGACATATCACGTTGACACGAGATGAGAATGAAAAGATGGATAGCAAAACCAAAAAGCATTAATGTAGTAGCAGTAATAAAAAGAAAGGCAAAACCTCGAAGGGAAATTGGAGTTCAAGACCGAGAGAGATATAGATGATGAACCACCCGACCGTTGTTGCTACCTTGGCGTGGTGGTCGAGCTTGCCTATAGTGATGAACCAGTCGAGCTATACTGGCTGGAACGATCATTCCTTAAGGTCCTACCATGTCAGACAGGTAACTTGAAGAGCGGTAAGACTAAAAGCAATAAACCCAAGGTCTGAGGGTGGAGTTGTAATGCTGACTGTACAAAGGTGTGACAGCAGTAAGGTGTTTCCTTCAGACAACCAGCATGACAGCGATGCTGCCTTCCCACAAGGAGGGGTATGGTTAAAAAAGGTCAACCCTAAAAATACACACCTCGCAATAACTCACGGATATCTGTCTCCGGTGGTAAGGTTTTAACAAGTACGGAGCTAACACGAAAATTACCCATAAAAATGTCGTGTGTGACCGACCTCAAGCAGTTGTCCCTTGGGCACTGCGGTTACACTATCAGATCACTGAGACCACCACTAAACCAAGTTCCTTTTCAGGTACCTCCAGAAGAACCCTTCTACGGTGTGGGCAACAAGAAAGTGATAACCGCCCTCGTACTTCTAAACAGCACTCAAAACCACTGTATTCATAATCAAACTCCCTCTTCAATTCCTGTTATTCCTCCTACATCGACTTTCAACTCTAAACTTTCTCCTCAAGTGCCACCATAGCCAATGATTCTAGTACGCAAAACACTGTCTCAGGTCTATTGAAACCTCGCTCCAAGCTACACATCGAAGCCTTCAACGAACGCGCCCTATGTCAAATTGGTCAGCAGGCCTCCTTGGCTAAAACCCCAGAATCTCGTACCACTGGTGGATGCTGTGTCTCAGAAACACGCATACAGGATCCTGGTGTGGTCATCCACTTGACCTCACCTCGTCGAAACGGGGAGCTGACGAGACACACCCTCCGTGTATCTGACCACCCGACGACTAGTTCTCGTGAACTGGCGGGTGCAGGCATAGCACTAAGTACGAAGGCAGAACAAGCACTACTAGAGTAGATCCCTGTTAACAGTCGCCTGTGGTATTCGGTTAAACTGCTCCGTAAGAACTCGGAAGGATATGAACACACGTCGTTACCTTTTCTTCATTTCTGCCTACGCTCCCACTGACTGCAGCCTGGATGAAGTAGAAGATTACTTTTATAGAAAGCTTTCTGAAATTCTTCAAAAGCTAAACACTCAGACATAGTACTCGTAGCAGGTGACTTTAATGCCCAGGTAGGTAGCTTAAACCAAACAGAAAGACATTTATGTGGGTATCTTGGTATTCCGACTCAGTGAACAGATAATGTTGACTATCTGCTGCAGCTGTGTTCAGACAATCATTTATTTTTAAGAAGCACTAATTTTAAGCATAAGGAGGGACATCGTTTAACATAGTGACCGCCTGCACCAAACCAACGATGGACTCAAAGAGACCATATTGCCATCAGTCATCATTGCAGGGGCTCGACAGAAGACTGCCACTCGTTCGAGAGTACATGTTTAGACTCTGATCATGTTCCAATACGGGCACGCATTTGCTTACGCTTCGCACCCAAATGCCCTGGTATGGACGAGAGTGGACTGGACCCGCCCTCCCTCTCGAAATGCTCTCACATGGCCACGCGTATATAGCCTCTGCCAGGGAAGTCCTACTCACTGCCTTCTCGTGGCGGGGGTGTTGTTTACGAAAATGAGAGGACGAAAAGCGAATGTCCGGCGCTTTAACCGGATCCCAAACCAATGGTGCACATGGGCTCCAGTATCCTGTGGGAACAAATGGCGTATGAACCAATCGTTGGTCACCGGCTACCATGGGACTGCGTCTCCTCACGATGCTCCACTGCCTTGTGGGTCAGACCTTTAGGTCAAAGGCTCGGGGTGTGGACCCCTAAGAAAACCACCTGCTTCGGTCTGGGCACCCGAGCAGTATCACAGCCTTCACACATATCGAATGAGATTTGTGTGGCGCATATGTATTTGGTGCCTCTTTGTACCAATATCTGTGTTGAAATAAATAAATAAATTATGGTATAGGAGTAGGTTGGGAGAAAGCTAGGAGCGACCAGACCAAAACATCGCACAAATCCATGAAGTCACTGACAAGTAGACTGAGCCATGTTGGTAGGTGTAGACTACCTAATTGGGGACCGCGAGATTATAGCAACCGATGGTTAGATACCCTGAATGACATGGCTCAAAATCCTTTGCAATGGCCCAGATGCATCCACTCTTTGTGTTCTCCCAAATTCTAATCTTCTGAGTTTGTCATGTCCCTTCCTTCTTCTTTCTAAATTTATTTCACTGTATTATACTCCTTGAATAACATCTTCAAACCCTAATCTTTCCGATTACTGCTTATACTCTTACCACCTCTACCACTACGGGATTTGAATCGACCACTGCATCTGTGCTAATGTGGTGTGGCAACTCGAACTGATGTACGTACGTACGAAGTTCTACGTTGTTACTGACTGACTATTTCAAGTTATGAAAAGCTTTTATGGGAAATCCCAAATAGTGAAAACATAACTGCCTGACCACAAAGAATTATATGCTCACTGGCCTTCAATTTTTTCGTAACTAATGACATCCGAGAGTCGATTATGTGAGATGTAATTAAATTACGTGGAAATGCAGAAGGATTGAACTAAATGAGAAAAAGTCTCAACGCTAACATTAACATTGGCACTATTAGATTTTGTATCTAGCTTTCAACTAATTTATTTAACTTAAAAACTACGACACATAGTAGTTTGCGATCCCCATCATGATTCGGAATTCAAGGCACCAGTGATCACGTTTACTTTGCAAATAAGCCGAAGATTTCAAGACAAGGAACTACAATACCTTAATACCTAACCACTACTTACTCTGATATGTAATGCTAGGTAACGTAGCGGATGTAAGAAATAGAACAAGTGATGGACAGACCAGGATATGGTCAACACGACTATTGATTGTTAGCTCCAACTTCGGTGGTAATACACTAACTGGTCGCGATTGACAAGATATTTGCGGTTAGTGACTGAAGATGCTTAGAACTGTTCACTAGCTTTTCTTGAATCATTTCCGATAGTTCACTCTTTATCTTCCAGTCTTAATCCTTCACAAACCATTTTTTAATCTGTTACTTTTACTACAGGACTAAGGGACTCCTAGAATCGATTAAATAAACCATCTCGTTATTTGTAGCCATGCACTTAAACCCCGATAAAACCAGTGGTGTCAAGGATGAGTGACAGGCTTGTCCGAGAGATCAGGAAAAAAGGGTTGGGAGTACACTATACTAATGAACTGTTGGTAATAATATCAGAACTATTATTACCGTTATACTTTTAAAATGTAGGGTGTAAGGGTTGATGTGATTGGTTATTGACTGAAAAGGATGCTTAAGTCAGGATTGGACAGTCTACAAGGTAGGAACAGAAGATGACTGTATCCCTGTATCACCATCAAAACCACTTACCATCAACGTCCAAAACTGCGCTAGACACATTTACGAATTAAGAGTCCCGCCAGCGCGTTTTCCTCCAGTCCTTTAAAACGTTAGTTAAAACCAACTGCTTTTCAGCTACTACCTTCAAGTTATCGGCCGGTGGCTCTTCTGTCATTACCTTCAAAACTCATGGAGTCCCTGATATGCGACGGTTTAAATGACTATCTACTGTCCTTAAATTTCTTCTCACCCCAACAGCATGGTTTCAGGAAGGGTTACTCTTGTATAACCAACCTGCTGACTGCGGTGGACAGATGGACAAGCATCCTCGATTGCAAGGGAAAGGTTGATGTTATTTACCTTGATTTCTCAAAAGCTTTTGATAAGGTTAACCACTTGTGTCTTATCAACAAGCTCAAACGACTAGGTATCAAACCACCCCTAATCGATTGGCTTACTTCATACCTAAAAAATCGACACTTTAAGGTTAGGGTTAATTTCACTTTATCTCAAGCTATGGAATGTCCTAGTGGGGTCCCCCAGGGCTCAGTACTAGGGCCTCTTCTCTTCTTGATCTACATAAATGATCTTCCTCAACAGGTAACGTCAGATTTATTACTTTTTGCCGACGACGTGAAACTTTGGAGAGAGATACGCAACCAAGACGATACACAGGCACTTCAGGAGGATCTGACGCGACTTCAAAGTTGGGCGGACGATAACGGACTTACCTTTAACACTTCAAAGTGTAAAGTAGTCCATCTGAGACATGTCGCAAACTACAGTTACAACTTAGGAAACTCCTCTCTAGTAGTATCCCAAGTCGAAAAAGATTTAGGAGTCCTGGTGCCCCATGACTTAAAGTCTTACGCTAACTGTGACAAAAATGCCTTCCGAGCAAACCTTGCACTGGTAACGTTGAGGCGCATTTTTGGCCAGTTTGACGGACGAACTTTCCACACAATTTTCAATAGTTTCATCCGTCCCCATTTAGAGTACGGAAACATAGTACTCCCCCCCTCACTCCAAAAGACAAGGTCACTTTGGAGCGTATCCAACGGCGAGCCACGAAATCAGTTCGAGGACTCAAATCTAAGCCTTACGAAGAACGCCTCCGTTCACTAGACCTTTACCCACTAGAATATAGGCGTCTTAGAGGTGATTTATTAATGGCTTATAGTATTCTTAACACTTCTGGACATCCTCTTAAACACCTACTTAAGCTTAGTTCGAATAATAACCTAAGGGGTAACACCCAGAAACTGGAAACACAACATAGCAAGACGGAATGTAGACACAACTTCTACTCCTTAAGAGTTGTCAAAAGCTGGAATTCGCTGCCGGCCGAGCTTGTCCAAGCGACTTCTCAGGAGTCCTTCAAGAGGCAACTTGACCTATTCTTAAGGACCAAGGACAGCATCACACTATGATTTACCAATTTCTTTTCCTCTTTTATTGTTAACATACCTAGGTTCCTGCCTGGAGGATTTGGTGATCCCCTGCTACTAGACACGGAAGCCTGTTAAGCGAAAGCTTCTTCTATTCCGTCCACAACCATTTGAACCATTTGATGTATTAAAATAGGCTAATGTCCTACTTCCCTATATTTTAGCGCACAACCGGATCCACCACATATAATCAAGTAGAAATCAGGTAGAAGTAGATGGAAGTATTCTTTAGATAACATAACAAATACTCGCTTGGGGTCTCTACAGAGCTCTAGGTAACTTGTCCCATGTATTATTCTGAAGCATCTTCACCACTCAATTTTGAGCCTAGCTGGAACGGAACTTTTTTCTCACCTTCCCACCTTAGGAGTGCATTCTCATACAATTATGAGTTCAAGGAAAAGTACTTAGAATATCGAAAAAACTTACACAGAACCCTGAGCTCAAGGCCTCTTCAACACATAAGCACAAGGAGCATTTGATCATAACGAGTCATACTGCCGATCATCTCTCCCTTGAAAGATTACTAATGCACCCTAGTATTAATTCATATCTAGGCAGGAATAATTTAAGGTTGGAATGTGAGAAAGCACGGACAAAATATATATATGGTGATTTTGTTGATGTTTCGAAAGAGGACTTGACATTCACTTCCGTTCTAAACGTACTGAGACAGCCACCTCTTAGTCACTTCTTTTATTACTGAGTAATACTGTGTTCTTTAAGATTCTTGAAATTGTTTAAACACTAGTTATACTCTTGTAAATAAGGGCCACCTTCGTAATACACACGTAGATTACAAGGACCTGATAACTAGTAATATATTCCCAAAAAGTTTCGAAATTTAGATACCACAAGTCTAATGGTGACATGACATTTCCGAAACTTCCTCATCTACCACTTGTATAAAAGTAACGCTGTACTAATGTTTAAGAAAAGATTTCAATACGTGAAGTGAAAGCACAAGCCAAAATAAAGGTGATTAATCGTTCAACTCTATGATGACCCTAACAAAATAGTCACATTTTTCCCAGTTAAGCAATTTACTTTTTTCTTCATGCAGATGTATCGAAGTCTTACGTTTGCCTTCTCACTGCTGCTGTCATTTGTTAGAGAAAGGGGTTAATTAGCAAGAGATTAAAGTCGTGTTTTTGCTTTCTGTTGTAAGTCATACAATAGGCGGTAAAAACAGTTACCTCTTCCTACTGAAATAAGTGATTTTTTAGTGAAGGAGAACACAGCTGAAGACAGCTGATTATATTTAGCACAAAATTACAGTTACTTAATAAAATGAGAAAACTATACTCCAATATTTCATTTGCAAAATGTTCATTAATTATTTCAGACTTCATTGTTATTGCATTTCCATATCAATCGCTTCCTGTTCCCGTTCTTTTCTCCTCGATCTTCCCAACCTTCTGCTTCCAGACGTTCTATTCTAACTAGCGCTATATACTACTTATGTCGACATAAGTAGCATATACCACACTCGTCCCCCGTTTTAGTAAGCTGTTCTCACAGTCCTTCCGGTTACTGTATCGCTGTTTTCTTTGGTGCCGTTCGTGACTCGCACTGATGATGTTCTTGAAACCATCTCTACTGTTGACCAACATTTACGCGCTTCTGTTTGTCTTCTCTCCGGGTAGTGTAGACCGAGCCACGTTTCTCCGTGGCAATGCACAGTCCTTTCCGCTTCGGGATCAGCTTTCCTGACCCTGATCTCACTGCTATGTCACCCTCCTGTTATCTACATTTACCAGGTCCCCTTCTGTAAAAGGTTTCCCCGTTCCCTATTGCCTCCTTCCTTTCTTTTCTTAACCTTGTTACCGTCCACCTTTGTTATTGTGGCCACGTCTTATTATGCATTCGAAGTTGTGATTGTCTACCATACACAAGCAGGAATAGTGGCTAATTGGTTATTCCTTGTTTGGAGACACGATGTGCCAGCAACACCAATGGCAACTCTTTCTCCCAATTTTTTCCTTTCGAGGCTAACCATTCCTTTAAAGTCCTGATGTTTCAGGCCTCCAGTTTCAGGTCTCAATATTCCTCAAAGATGGAGTGAAACGAATGAAATCGCGCCTGCCCGTCGCTCTTTATTTCCAGGAGGAAGAAAGTCTTTTAACTGATAGTAGGGCTGTTCTAATTTACTTATAGTTAGGAAGCAATGAGATGGTTGCTATAAATTGCGTTATTCAGTGGACTTGGGATTTGACGGTCCAGATCTTAATATGTGTTTACAGACTACCATATTAGTTGACGAGAAGCCAAAGTTCTGAAGCCCATTATTCGGTGAGAGCGCAAGCAAACATTTCAGCAGTAATTTATCTTACAAGTAATACCTCTTCCCAGCATGTAAAATTGTACACGAGAGTTTCGAGGTATGCAAATTCACTTAATTCTGGAAAAAAATCTTCAAGGTTGAGGTATACATGGTCAAAACTAGAAACGGATAAACAAACAAACCTGAGAGACATCTGTTAAATTTCGTTATCTTGTATTTTTACAGTAGTATCAGGGAAGTTCTTTCGCCTTATGGCTCCTATTCATTTCATATTTTAAAAATTGCCAAACATTCGGCTTGATAGCTGCTCGGACACCAGGGTGAGACCATTCATTTGTTCAATCAGGGATACTGCTTACGCTCAATTGGAGTGTACTCACCAATGTGTGTTACACAACAGATTATTCTTGCGTGTTTTATTACAGGTGATGATCAGGTAGGAATGGGTATCAGGTAACGTACTTACGCATTTATATCGCTCCCAACTATGATTTAAATTCTTCAGCAAGCTAAGGCACTTTAGAAATACCTTACTTACTTACTTACTTACGCCTGTTACTCCCAATGGAGCATAGGCCGCTGACCAGCATTCTCCAACCCACTCTGTCCTGGGCCTCCTTTTCTAGTTCCATTCAATTCTTGTTCATTTTTCTCATGTTTATCTCCATTTCCCGGCGTAATGTGTTCTTTGGTCTTCCTCTCCTCCTTTGGCCTTCAGGATTCCATGTGAGGGCTTGTCTTGTGACACAGTTGGGTGCTTTCCTCAATGTGTGTCCTATCCACTTCCAGCGCTTCTTCCTAATTTCTTTCTCCGCTGGGATCTGGTTTGTTCTCTCCCACAGTACGTTGTTGCTAATAGTGTCCGGCCAATGGATCTGAAGTATTTTGCGTAGACAACTGCTGATAAACACCTGTATTTTCTGGATGATGGCTTTCGTAGTTCTCCAGGTTTCCGCCCCATACAGTAGAACTACCTTGACATTTGTATTGAAAATCCTGACCTTGGTGTTGGTTGACAGTTGCTTTGAGTTCCAGATGTTCCTCAGCTGTAAATATGCTGCTCTTGCTTTGCCGATCCGCGCCTTCACATCTGCATCAGATCCACCCTGTTCATCAATGATGCTGCCCAAATACGTAAAGGTTTTTACATCTTCCAAATCTTCTCCGTCAATTGTGATTGGATTGGTGCACGCTGTGTTGTATCGGAGAATCTTGCTTTTCCCTTTGTGTATATTGAGACCTACTGCTGCTGAGGCTGCTGCCACACTGTTCGTCTTCTCCTGCATCTGTTGTTGCGTTTGGGATAGAAGGGCCAGATCATCTGCGAAGTCTAGATCATCCAACTGCATCTTAGATGTTCATTGTATCCCGTGCTTC